TGTGTGTGTGTGTCTGCGTGTGTGTGTGCGTGTGTGTGTCTGTGTGTTTGTGTGTCTGTGTGTGTCTGCGTGTGTGTGTGTGTCTGTGTGTGTGTGTTTGTTTGTATTCCTGCGGCTGAGCTGGCAGAGCTGGCCACGGCTTTACCCTTCCTAGGCAGCGGCATGTTCCCATGACCGGAACCTGGGAAGCTGCCCTGCCAAGCTGGCAGCAGTGGAGCACTGGTATCCCCTCGGTGTGAATCCTGCCAACTGGCCCGCTCCTCACTGGCCTCATTCATGTTACAAACCTCAGGCCAAGGCCATGAAGCAGAGCGGCTCCTTGTGCCCCGTGAGCTCTGCCGTGAGACAGCGGAGTGGCCATGGCTTGGCAGTGCCCGCACTTTGCACTTGTATTGATGACCGTTAATCGACAAGGGCATGATGCTGCTAATTAGGATTGTGATGACTGAGGACTGAGTATCTGTCAATGACTTGATGTCATAAAGTTCTTCTGGCTGCTGACACACTGTGGCACCTAAATACCTGAATAAGGGCGCTGCGTGGAGCTCACTCAGAATCACTAACACCCAGCTCTTATTTCTTCTCAGGTGTCCTCCACTGTTGCATCCAGGACCGAAGGCACTTGCCCCCCCCCCCGTCAATCCTTCACCAGAGCTGCCTGTGGGGGCTCCATGCCCAGACATCCCCCTCCCTCTATTGGGTGATGCTGGCGGAAGGAGGCACAGATGAGTAACAACGGTACAGCAAAGAGGCCATCGCAGCCGGGCAGTCCGGAGGCCCCCACCGAAGCCCCACGCCGGGGGAGGGGCCGTCCGCGCAAACCGCAACAGGTCAGCTCCAGCGGATGCTCAGTAATCTACCCCATCCAGCAGGACATTCCTGCCAAAGCCTGTATGTTGAAAAAGGTCATACATTGGCCCAGTGTGATTGATTGTAAATGTTGCATCTTCCCCAATATACCAGGAAGGATAAGAGTCTGAAAGATGCATAGCAATGTGTCGATGTGTCAGTCAAAGCTGTGCCAAGACCAGGGCAGACGTTCACATTCTGCAGTAATGAACCACAAGGAATGTAAATAAAACAACACATCAGTGATCATGTTGTAAAATCAGTTCTCTAACAATTGAGACAATTCAGTGTAGCCTCATCAGATGTAATGGTGTTTTTGTTTATTTATATGCTGCAGACTTTAGCGCAAGATGCCTAATTTTCAGGTTGTATTTCAAGTCTTCCTAAAATGCAGTTAGGCAAGATGAAGAGACTCCTGCCTTCGGAATGATATGTGATTTATTGGATCTCTTTGCAATATGTAGTTTTATTCAGCTCTGGAAAAAATTAGGAGACCACAGTAACATTTTTAGTTTCACTCATTTCTCATTTTATGGGAATGTGTCTATGTAATATATATATATTTTTTTGCAAACTGCAGCCTGGTTCTTCCCTGCTTCTCGTTAATGAAGGGCTTCTTCCTTGCTTTTTGGGTCTTCAGTTCTGCTTCTAGGAGCCTACTATGAATTGTCCTGGCAGCACATTTCACACCACTTAATGTTTCCCAATCTTTTTGAAGGTCACTTGAGGTCATCCTCCGATTTATGAGGCAATGCCGGATAAGTTGACGGCCATCTCTGCCATTAGGGAGCCGCTTCTGCCCTCTACCTGACTGGTTTTTGGTCACTGTGTCTTAGAAACTTTGAGCCTGGAAGCAGCCGGTCTCGCAGTGTAACCTTCTACCAGCAGAACCAGAATTAAACCAGGATTTAAAAATGCAGATTTTAAAAAAATATAGAGTGGTCTCTTCATTTTTTCCAGAGCTGCATACGTTAACTTGTGAAGTATATGGCTGTTTTGCATTTTTATCCATACTATCATATCCATGTGCCTTTCCATGTCTCCCTCACATGTATGCACACCCTCTCAGTCTGCTCAGCCAGCCGTTCTACAAAGTGGTATTTCCTCTCTCAGAAGTCACATCTTTTAAAAATATTCAATAACTGTGACACTCATGGTTCGCAGTCCTGGTCCAGAGAAGGGTTCATCCGCCAGTTCTGTTCCTTCCAGGAGCTCAGTGGGCCTCCAACCCCCAAGAGACCCCGCGGACGTCCTAGAGGGAGTAAAAACAAGGGCCCTCGTGCCACACCCAAGGTGAGAGGCAGCCCCTCAGCTGTCGCCTTGGAATTTATGTGTTAGCATGTCAGTATCTGCCTGCAGTGCAGCCTGCTCTACTTTTCAACCCGGATCCTTTTAGGTGAAGGGTATCAGAATGCATGTGAGGTTTGAGTCTTTAAATTTACTATGGAGCCCATCGAGCCTGAGAATTAACCCCCACTTCCCCCTGCCTCCATTCTATCAATTCCACTTTAGAAAACAGAGCCAGCCGGAGAGAAGAGACCACGAGGCAGGCCGAGGAAATGGGTGAGTAGGCTCTCAAGCAGACTCACCACCCAGCAATGCTGCCCCCGCCAGCTCCCCACCCACTGCAGGCGTGATGGTGCCCCCTAGCGGCCTGCAGCTCATCAGCTTGGATCCATACGGATGGAGGCTGAGGCAAAGCTGGTCACTTCCATTGGTTGCATGGGTCTGGATCAGCATTGATTTATTTTGACTTTGCGACTCGTCGTAGCCCTGACAGGTCCGCACCAGAGAACACACGCTTGTGACAAGAGTGAAAACCTTGTATTTGCCCCCCCCCCCAGCCCTCTCCTCCTCCATGTGCTTCCAATTAGTCCGGCACAGGTTGTGGGCATCCCAATAATGGAGGCGGGTCTGCGTGGTTGCGGGACATCGGGAAGTTATTAGGGCCTGCAAAGGCAATTTCCTCCCATAATCCTTTGCTGGCAGTGTCCAGCTGGATGCCCCTGTGCCAAAAATCACATTATTGTTCTTTTGTTTTGTCCCCCCAACACACACACATACACTGTTTTTCTGTGTTCTGGGATCAGTCTGTTGCCTGGTGTGACGACCTCAGTCCCTCTGTCTTTGGTGCCGGAAGTGACACAGCAGCGCAATCCATCGCTGCCCCAGTGCTTCATGGGATCTTGTTGCCAACCTGTGTCATTCACTGCTGCCATTTTACAAGCTGGGGAGGGGCTGGGGGCTGCATGCCTGCATGCGGTCTCCGCAAAAGTGGCACATTTTTTAGACGCAGAGTCCTGACACTTTAAGATGCATTCCTGACAAAATGAGTCCTGGCAGGCAATAACATTTATTTTGGGTGCGAGGGAGAATGAAGCAGTTAGCACATTTCTTTTCTGAACTAATAAATAGGGTTATATTTGCACTAACTACCTGCAGAAGTTTAAGAACATATATTAAAACAACATCAGATTAATTTGAGTTAAATTAGATCCCATCTCCTCACCCGCATCCTAGTCCCCCATCTTTTTGAGTATGCGGCTCCCGCATTTTGATGCTGTGGCGGGAATGTATTTCAGTCTGCTGCAGGGGAATCTGGGTAATGGTCCAAACCAGCCACATGGAGCAGCAGGGAGGAGGAAATGTGTTTGATTACAGGAGGAAGCAGGTCTGCTGGGGCCCACATTCCACAGATGCCACACACAATAGAGAGAAAAGGGGGCGTGAGGGACAGAGCGAGAAGGGGGGAAGAGGGAGAGAAGGGGTGGAAGAGAGAGAAGGCTGGGGACAAATTGGAAAAGAAAGCAGGAGAAACAGATAGCTGGAGGAGAAGTGAGCAGGGAGGAGGGAAGGAGATAGAGAATACAGAAATAAGGGAGAGATAGGGGTATGTTTGTCGGGAGGCTTGGTTCAGACTACCAGCATTCACAGTGTATCGGTGTGAAGAGGGGAGGGAGGGAGGGGAGACGAGCTGGGTGGGGTTTCCAAATGCATAGGCCACTGGGTCACCTAAAAATGCAGTGAGCCTAGCGAAGGTGGCCTGAAACCGTGCGCGGGCCTTCCGTCCTGTACCCTGCAGACCATTACCCGTACCCTGCAGACCGTTACTCGTACCCTGCAGACTGCTATGGAAGCTGCAAGCCCTCGGTGAGGGCCGGTGAGTATAGCCTCCGGGGAGCATGGCAGCTGTCTGTAATGATCTGTGGCGGTAATGCCGAGCCTGCGAGCCGCCGTGCCACATGATGTCTGTCCTGTGGGGGTGGAGGAGGCCCTGGCTGCTTGTTCCGCCACCCCCATCCCGGCCACCCAGGGTGGGCCCGGCCGCTGACACTCCGTGGCGGGTGGGGACCTGGAGCCTGGCTTTCTCCCTCTTCCAGAGTGCCGCTGGCTCCAGTCCAGACCCCCCGCTTCGGTTCCTCTCGGCTCTGAAATGTCTGCCAGATGGAATTCAGCTCCAGCAGTCACCCCTCAACCCCCTCCACTCCTCTTCTCTCCTTCCGTCTCCCCTAACCCCCTCCCCATCTCCTCCCATTGCCTCCCTTCTCCTTCTCTCAGTCCCCCTCCTCATCCTGCTCCTCTCCATGCCTGCCTCTATAGTCTCTTCACTTCCTCCTTTGTCTCCTGCCCCAACTCATGAGGCAATTGGTGTATGGATGGATGGGGGGGGTGGCTCTGCAGGACCAGAATGGCGGGAAAGGGTCTTGAGTAGGAATCTAGAGCACAGCGACAGCACTGGGCTGGACAACCCAAAAGGTTTGGATGGCCAGTTAATGTGATACCCAGTAATGCAGTGCAGGACAGCTGTCTGTCATGCATGGGTAAACACAGAAATCCACCTCTGAATGTCTGTGTTTCTGGGCTGGGGGACAGGAGCATGTCACTGCCTGTTGTGCGACTGCTACGCCCATTTTCAGGAGCCTCCTTCACTTTTATGAATGGAGTGTCTGTCTGGCTCAAGCAGCTGGGGCAACCACCTATCACAGTCTGCCTCCATGCCCCCCCCTTCATCACCCACACTTACATGCCCATCCCCATGAGCTCCCCCTCTTTCACAGCTGGTACACTGTTATGGACCAGCAGCTGTTTGTCGTGGGGAGGGGGGGGGGCTAAGTCTCAGAAAAGGGCTTTTGAAATCCCACCTACAGGTTTACAGTTTAATAACCTAGTGAATGTAGACAGTAGGCTGGACTCATGAAACAATTTCAGGATGGTTCCTGGTCCCACTAGTACTTCTTCACAATGTGTCCTGAAGATGTGCTTCCAAATGATAAAATATTTTTATGTACAGTTCAATATTTTACATTTTGCCAGAAGTTTTATAAATGGTGATATGGAGTATTGTACGATGACTCCAGGTATGTGGGAGATTACCATAGGGGGCGCCACTGGGCACCCCCTTATGAATACTGATTATGGGTTAAATGATGATGAGATCCTGTCATGGATAGGCTAATTCCAGACCATATTATTGAAAAGGTGGATTAAAGATTGGTCATGTGTCCGGCTGCTGTCGTGGTGTCGTGGTGACCGTTTGATTACAACATCCCAGCTGCTCGCTAAAGTAGCTTAGCAAACACTAATCTATGTGAAATTTGGGTCTTTGGCCCGTCCAGGAAGTCGTTGGCCACTAAACGCACTGACAGAGTGTAGTTGGCAATGAACAGAAATGCAGAAATTTAGCAATTAGCATGATTCACGTAAGTGACAATGTTTCCGTTGGCAGATGATCCGTTATTGGTTTAATGAGCTGTCTAGAAAGTATGGGCTTACTGTGATTAATGTCATGACTTTCTTTTCTTGCAGCCTCAGAAAGTGATTCAGGAGGGACAACAGCAGGTAAGAGAAGAAACCCCAACATTCTCAAGTAGCCTCATCGCTATGATTGATGGGCCTGTTCTATTGTCTGCTATGCGAATGCAACAGTCCTGTTCACTGTTTAGCTGAGGGCACCAACCATTAAAGAGAGTAGAAACCTCATGACTGCATTTCAGTTGGTTCAATATAGGCCAAAAAGAGATTGCAGGGGGATGATGAGTAACATGTGTACAGAGCGTTCAGTCAGATACATGTATTTTCCAGAGTGAGGGGGAACCACATCGTCATGCTTGTAGCGATGAGCAGTGCCATCCCACACAGGCTATGAAACTCAGTGCTGGACACCAGCTGTGGCCCGTCGTGTGACCAAAAACCAGTGACACGAGCCCCGAACAAGTTGTGGGCAGCCTCAAACAGTCTCAGCTATGGGCAGAAAAGGAAGGGGAAGCAAAGACAGCAGACAGATGATCAAAGAAGACTGTATTGCAGGAGGTTAGCTTGGAAATGTTTGAAACGGCGCCAGGTAAAAATGTTCTAATTCATATATGCGGTGGTCTTCGCTGAGAAAGTCCAGCGTTGGGTTTCACCAGTAATAGCTGAAATGCTCTGTTAGAGAAACAGAAACAGTAACCTCCACTTACCGAGACAGGCTGGTTAGCTGCGCTTGCTCGGAAATTGAACGGTAGGTTCAGTTTTCATTAACCCTTTCAGTTTGCATCACCAAGAACAAAGCTGTGGTCGGCTGAAAAAGAGAAAAAAAGAGAGATGGAATTTCCATTCGGACTGCGATGGAGTGCACTGCCCACCTCAGTCGCTCCTAGTTCATGTTTTCCCAACGATCCCCTCAGAGGTGGACATTTCAGGTCCAGAAAGTAAAAATCCAAACCAGGATTTTGTTTCAACCAACGAGTTGAATATAAAGAGTCACAGTGACAGAGTACTCAACTGGTTGGTTGAAACAAAACCTTGGTCTGGATTTTTACTTTCTGGACCTGAATTGTCCACTTCTGGATCTCCTTCATTGCACTGCATTTTTACAAGCTCCCCCTTCTGGTTAAAGTTCTATATCGCCAATATATTTAGTGAGGCTGATCACGATGTCTCCATTCCTCAGTGTGGGAATTCTAGCGTAGTTCGTACCTGATCTAGGTAAGTGATCTAGTGATGATCTAGTTTACTGTTGTCCTTCTGGTCTCCTTTAGGCTTGAAGTCATTTTTTTATAGAGAATAGGGTTCTTTCAATATTACGGGCGCTACTTGAAAACTGTGATTTATTTTTTTTGTTCATAAATATATGTAACTTAAGCAATTTGACAGTGTTCAGTCAAACAGGTAATACTTCAAAGAATGTCAAAATAACCGTTTCCCCATAAATCAACAGTTGAAATAGCTAACAAATCTTTCACTGGCCCAAATAGCCCCTTTCCCACTAGCCTTGTTCTCACAAAACAAGAGTAACGATATCTTTAACTGTCAGAGAGACAGTCTGTCTCACTTCCGCTTAACGTTGGATGAGAAACCGAGAGCGCGGAGAATGAGTCAGGATATAGAGAGGAAAACCAAAATAACCGTCATCTTCCTCACATCTCTTGGTTTCACACACAGACAAATTTCCTGGAAAGATGGGAGGGAAACCCCTCTGTTTTGAGGGTGCAGAAGGTACAAAGCACACTGCAAATGGACATTATTCATATGAAGGCAACAGCCTGTACTTAACACACAACTCAAAGCCATGGTATTGACGAATTTCACAAAACCGCAGTGAGTGCTAGTACTTTTACAAGAAAAGGAAAGTTATGTTCTTAAAGCAAGTGCAGTTTCATAGCACATTCATGAGTATAGTTTCTTAAGTCTAACACTAGTACTAGATGCATTATTGAGTAAGTAAACAGCTTATAGGGAATGTGTCGATTTTGTGAGCTAAACTGATTTTCACTCCTTACGCAGTCTGGACCAAAAAATCATGCATGTTCTGCGCCAGCGGTTGGCAGGTGCATCTGTGATGTGGCATTGTTGCCATGGCACTGCACATTCAGTTTCCAGGAATGCTCCAACTATGCAAACAGTGCTGACATTACTCGTTGCGTTTTTGTGACGTGCACCTCCGGTGGCCCCGACCACAATGTCGTCAGCCGTGATATCAGCCCCCCTCCCCAACCATCGGGGCAGCCATGCACACCTCAGTTATCATGGCAACGCTGCTTGTTTGTAAACACAGCATTTTCCTTCCTTGCATGGTTACAGGGGCATGGTTACTAGAAATTGTGAGCCGGGTATTCTGTATCATAGCACCCTGAACCTGTTAAATGTCAGGTAGAAGACAGTTGAAGTAATGTTCTTCACATCAGCAGAGATAGTTTAAGCGCACACATTTCAAAATTAGAGCATTTTAAGAGTACCTGTTGCTAGAGGTTTTTGGAAGGATTCTGTGTCTGGGCTCGCAGTACCTTATCATTTTCACTTTAGTCTAAATTATTGTTAGTGGTGCAAATTAACATCTTAAGGACATTAATTATTGGACATGAAAAGTTGTGCAATATGTTTTTGACGTGGGTTTGGTGGTGAAGGTGGTCAGAGTGCTTTGTTAATAATGTTAGTCTAGTTTACTATCCAGGATCTACTCTTGCAAATAAACACCAAGTACGGCTACACTACGGTCCCAAAGACTCCATTCCTCAACACTTACATTGTTTGTAAGAGTTACACAAGCCCAACCTGTCCCTACCACCCTCACATAACACCAACCCAATGTAATGTTCCCTTAAATACCACCTTTCCCCAGCACCCACATGCAACCATACCTCATTCTTCAACTACCCACGCACCTGTCTGAAACACTCACATACAAAGCAGGTTGTTCCTACTCTTCACACATAACTACACCCATTTGTAACAGTCACATAAAACATGACACAATACTACCGTGTCTTAATGCACTACTCCACCCATCACATTTACTCTTCATCCTTTCCTCTGGAAAGAAAAAAAACCTTAAATATAAACTATAGTTAAGCATACAAAGTGTACATATGTTAATGTTGCCTGTATATGCTGTAATTGCACTGCATATCACAATTTATGACTTAGCATTAGCAGTCTAACTTTAGATGTGATTTCAATAATTGAGCAAGAATAGGTAGCTGTTCTGGTTAAGGTTATATGGTCTCTCTCTTTCAATCAACCTTCCTCACTCTCCGCTCCCAGTGGAGCTGGCAGTTAGTGTGGGAACGTTGGACTGGTGCTGGGCGGACATGCCCAGCACCACATGTGTGCACCGTTGTCTAAGTGTGGAGGGCCATGTGGGAGGGAGTCATTGGGAAGGGGCTGGATTCAGGCCAACCTCTTCACAAATGGACCATGGGGACTGAGATTTTACAGTGATCACAGCGGGTGGATATGTGAGAGAATGTGAGTGTGTGTTTCCGTGCACAGTATGTATTGTGGGAGACTGTATGTGTTTGTATGAATGAGTGTCTGAGGAGTATAGAACCTGTTCTGTGACGTTTTGGCAGATCCATTTGACATTTTACTGTAATTATGCTGAGCACACAGGCTACAGTACATGTATGAATATAGGGAGAAAACAAATACGTTCTAGGTTTCCGTAGCATGGCTTACTGTCTTCTCCACACTCCTATCTGCCTTTCTGGAGAGAAATACCACGTCTGTCATGCAAAATTGAACATATCTGAATCATGGTGTATGTTTCTAGAGAGACTTAAATGGGGTAGAGTGCCCTAAATGGGGTAGAGTTCTACATGGCAGGGGAAAAGATGCAGGAGGGGAAATCCAATATTCTTGGTTCTAGTCACAGCCTTGAGTCAGTGGGCTGAAGGTGGCTAAAGGTGGCTCTCAAGAGTTGATTTTGTAGCTTTCAAAATTTACTTTAAAGACATTTGTCAAGGATTGTGTTGCATACTTCCTGCTAGTGAACAAAATGTGAATGTAGCTGTCTTACTTTGGGTTTGTGGAGGAAAGGGGGGACACTGGAATGAATAGGAACACAAGTGGCAGAAATAAATCTAAGGACTTATGGTTGAATTGAGCTCACTTACACATGAGGTAATGGGGGAAAGTAAGGGGCAGGGGATGGGGGGCAGGAAGAAGTTGGAAGCGGAAAGCGGAGGGAGGTATGGGGTGATGGGCTTCGGTTGGGGGGGGGGGGGTCTGTTCCACAGCTGGAGTAAACATCTATCTGTCCATAAGCCTGTAGAAGCTGCAGCTGACTGCATATGGCTGATCCACGATTCCTCTGTCTATGGCATGTTTTGTGTGTCCAGTTTGACAAACAGATTGAAATGAGTAAAACGCCAGTGCACTGACCCCCAAACCACCGTCACACTGAGCCTCGTGCTGCACGGTGTGTCCGTGACTCAGCCCTGCCAAACCAGCATTTATAAAAGCCATATGGGCACAGCTCCGCCTTAGGGAGATGCTCAGTCTAATTCACTGTCCTCAGAGACAATCAGTCAAAGTGTGTCTCAATGTCTCAATGACATCACAGTGGCTCGATTAGCATGCCATTGTACTCAACCTCTGGGGATAACAGGGTTCTGTAGAAGGTTAAGGATAGAAGCTCTTCTCCTTAAGGGGGCTCAGTTTGGGTCTTCTCTGTCTTTGAATTACACCGATATCATCTCATAACACATGACTTAAACGGGGGCTGTGACTCCTTGGACCTAAGTCACTGAAGTCATAGACAGCCAAAGAAAATTATGTTTAAATGATCTTTATGTTGATGTTATTATGCCTGTCAAGATATGTTAGCTTAGCCATTTCAAACCCTCTGATAAAGTCACCCCAGTATTTCCAGCAACCATCCAATACACTCGTATTTTTTGACATGACCACTAGCATACCTCATATCCCATTGACTTTTTTAACTAATTGCATTTATTAATTAAGTGAGCTAGTGGTGAAATTTAATAAATAATTGACTGTAGAGATTCGTACTACTTTTTATTGTGTTACTCTTAACTTTCACAAGTTCTAATGCTAAATTGTGACTTTTGCTATGAGCAAACGTGCACTTACTACCCAGATAAATAGCTTTAAACAATTCTTTTGACTCCCTAAGACTTTTGCACAGCACAGTACATGTGTACTTGCTATTTCACGTATGCGTGAGGGTGTTTTGTCACCAAAATCAGGTAGTTATGTGTACTGAAATGAGTAAAACTGACCCCCAAACTGCCGTCACACTGAACTTCATACTGCATGGTGTGTGTCCCTGACTCAGCCCTGCCAAACCAGCATTTATAAAAGCCATATAGGCACAGGTCAGCCTAACCCTTCAGATTTCTGGGTGTGATCTTGTAATAATGCACCTCGTTTTTTGTTTTGAAAGGTAAGAGATCACAGAAACTGACGGTCTTTCTCTCTGTCCCCACAGGCTGATCCCCAGGGAGCCATGGAGGGTCCCTCTCAGACCCCGCCCCCTGCAGAAGGGAAATAGGCAGGGTGCCACACTCCTACCTCACTGGCTGGTTAGCGGTAGAGGGAGGGGCCAGATGCTCTACACCGAACGAGCCATGAAGATCGCAAAACAGGAAAATAATATTGTTTATATATATGCTTTCAGTTCATAATATTTTAAAGTTGCCACTGCCACGGTAGCATTTCTCCGGGAGCAGACCTGGGATTGACAAGGGACTTTCTTCACCATTCTGGGCCAGTCCACCTGCCCTTCCACTGCCTTCTTCCTCTCCCACAATCCTATGGCTATTTTTATTTCTTTAAGTGTCTCTCACTTGTCTCAGTTTACACTGCAGGGACAAAAGGCATTTCATACTGTAGGAACTAAAGGCATTTTTGTATAATCAAAAACCAATCTGTTTACCTACTCTCTTGGGAGGGTAGCAGCCGCACTGAATCATTGGGATTGAGAAATTTACTGTATCGCAAGTCTGTCCTCTCCAGATCAAAGTCTTTAGCTGAGTGTGGGGACAGAGTGACACTCCTGATGCTCCCAATTGCCACTGGAATCTGGCAACGAGAATAAGGAGAGTCATTTCACCTTGAATCTTAGGCCCAAAAAAAACAAAATTAACTCCATGTTCTTGATGGCAAGGCAACAGACGTGAATCTGCTTTAAGTGTTTGCGGCTCTTCCTGGGAGTGAATGTGTTTGTGTATGTGCGAGTGTGCTGATATTGTTTAGGTGTGTGCTCTGTGCTTTTGAGTGCTTACATGAAGGGAGTCTGATTCACTGTCCCCAGAGACAATCAGACAAAGTGTGTCTCAGCTTGATGACATCACAGTGGCTCGATTAGCATGCCATTGTATGCAACCTCTGGGGGTAGCAGGGTTCTGTAGAAGGTTAAGGGTGGAAGCTCTTCTCCTTAAGGGGGCTCAGTTTGAGTCTTCTCTGTCTTTGAATTACACCGATATCATCTCATAACACATGACTTAAACAGGGGCTGTGACTCCTTGGACCTAAGTCACAAAAGAACTCAATTTTAAATGATATATATGATATATGTATTTTTTTTTACTTGCTATTTCATGTACGTGTGAGGGTGTTTTGTCACCAAAATCAGGCAGTTATGTGTACTTTGTCATTGTGTCAACATTCATCTGTTTACCAAATGTTTACCAGTTCAGTTACTACTTGATTTCTCATCCCATTGAGGCTACTGTTTTACTGCAGTAGACAGTGCTCTTTACTATGGTACTCATTTATATTCATTTACACTTCAGGTATTTTTGCAAGTATTTTTTGCTTGACTCAGATTCAGGAACATGATTTCAAAATACTCAGATACAATATATATTGTGCTATAAAGATATATTTATATTATATATATATATATATATTTCATATATTGTTTGCAAATATGACAGATGACATACAGACCTCAGCACAGGGGTGCCACAAGGGCCAGTCCTACACCTCACCTCCCTTTTGCCTCCCTGTCTACCTCAGCCACAATGAGGATGGAAGAGGACTGCACTGACACAACCCCATAACACCTCATACACAAGGTAACAGGGGACAGTACCCCCCCCCATCCCCATAACACCTCATACACAAGGTAACAGGGGACAGTAGATACCCCCATAACACCTAATAGGCATAGTAACTGGGGACAGTAGACTCCCCGTAACACACCTCATACACAAGGTAACTGGGGACAGTAGACCTCCCATAACACACCTTATGCGCAGGGTAACTGGGGACAGTAGACCCCCCCATTACACACCTCATACACAAGGTAATGGGACAGTAGATTCCCCCCTGGATTTCCATTCTGAACTTCTCACCTTCCCCTATTCACACTTAGCACGCAGACACCTCAGTCACATGGAGAGGGCTTCTCCATTTACTCCATGCATAGTAAAGCACTGACTTTGAATGGGGCTGGGGGCATTCTTCCATTTTATACAACCAAGGGTATTATAAATATAATAATCCAATATTATTCTTTTATAATTCTGGATTATTATGCTGTAAAATATGATTATGCTGTTTGAATTCATAACAAGCACTGTAATGATTACTTCCTAGCCAGTGTACAGTGCTGCCCACTGTTAGTGCTTTTAGCAATTGTTAAATTGGAGTAATTTGGCTGTAGCATGGTAGCCAAATAAGAACCAATCTGGTGCCCACTGATGCCATGTGACTGGCAGGTGAGGGACACGGACAGTGCTACATTTTTCCTTGTGTTTGAAAGGCCAGTCATTTTGCAGTCACTGTATTACACAGACTGAGACTTCAATGTTGCTCAAAGCTCAAAGCAGGATATCATAGAATAGGTACATTTTCCGTGTTTCAGTGATTTCTTATTTCTTGTGGTATGTACATTGATTAGACTGGTTTGTTTAAAACTTGTTTTCCTTATTTTGAGGCCGGCCCTGTCCTTCTGTATAATCTGTGGCAAAAAAGGATTTTGGCAGGTTGAAGACCATTGTATAGAGTGTGTGGCTTTTTTAAGAAGAAACTGCTTTAGTTTCTGTCTTGGGTCTGTGTGGTGTAGTTTGTGAAGAAGTATTGATGAAATGGGGCCAACCCAAGTGCAGTAAGTAAAATTTTAGCAAAAAACGATCATTGTCAGGAAAGTTTGGGCATAGGTATGATTTAGTGGTAGTGAAGGGATGACTGGTTTGGAAATTCAGATTAATATCATTGCTAAGGGGACTAAGTTTGAATCCAACATGAAACTTATAACTCAGCCTTTTCTACATTGCCTGGATCATTTCCCCACTTAGATATGGCAGCCCTGACGGAATTGTGATGCTTGATGTCCACTGTATCCAGGCATTTTTACTTTTGGCATGTGAGGAAGGTGAAGGACAGTCTTTGTAGGCTTGACTGGAAGTTTCACATTTGCTTCTTGAGGTGTTTTTGTCCAGCAGAGAGGTTCTTGCTGATATTCCAGTCATGATAATGCATTCAGATCAACATGTGCTGATGTGTTCCGATTAGCACAAGGTGTATATCCTGGCAAAGAGGAGAACTCCTTGAAAACAACAGAAAATGATGACACAGGAACCCAGATATACTTTGCTTGTTTGTGATCTGCTGCAGTCTAGAAGCTGCCTGGAATTTTGTAGGAACAAATGGGAGAAATCTTCAGCTGTTCAGTTTGTTTTAGGGTGAACTTTTTCCTGCAGTGTCTGCATACCACCAGGGGGAGCTGTTCTATTCAGCTTTTCCAAGGAAATGTGAGGGAATATCTAATATCTGTAGTGTGGGGTGTGTTAAATCAGCATACTTCTTAACAGCACTCAGCACTGTGTTATTCTTAAAGCCCCTTGATGTTTTCTTTTTTATGAATTCTTGAAATGTTTATATTGTATTTTATAATACTTTTGATAGCTACGGTCATCTTTAGGTGATTTATTTCTATTTTTGAGGATGTTCATTTGCTTTAGACTTCTTTCCATTTCTGTGAAATAAGAGTGTTGGTTTCACTAATTATTTTTAAATCTCCAGTTTGTTTTATTGTGAAAGAACAGTGACCTCTCTGGGATATTACAGGCAATTACAGGGATTACTTGTCTTTCATTGGATGGTTTCCATTTTATTTTTTAATTCCTGTCTTTAGTTGCTTTTTAGGAGGAAAATGAGAACAATCTGTTAATGGTCATATACAGCCTCTCCGCAGGATATGATGGGGTAAATCAGATAAATCTATCGTAAGGTGAAAATATCGTAAGGTGAAAATGCATTTTAGTACACCTAACCTAGCCTAGCCTACCTTAAACATGCTTAGAACATGTACATTAGCCTACAGTTGGGCAAAATCATTAACACAAAGCTTATGTTATATTAAAGTTCTGAATATCTCATGTAATTTATTAAATGATATGCTGAAAGTGAAAAACATTTACCCATTGCAAAGTTGAAACGTCAAGACCTGGGGAGCGTCTGTATTTATCAATCTCTCTGAAACATTGGTGCTATAATAAATTTTTTTGACTTGAAATAGGGGGGGCATGGGGGTGCAGTGATTAGCGCTGTTGCCTCACACCTCTGGGACTATGGTTTGAGCCTCTGCCACAGCTGTATGTGTGTGGAGTTTGCATGTTTTCCCTGTGTCATCGTGGGGTTTTCTCTGGGTACTCTGAGTTCCCCCCACAGTGCAAAAACCTGCTGAGGTTAATTGGAGTTGCAAAATTGCCCGTAGGTGTGTATGGTGTGTGAGTGAATGGTGTGTGAGTGACTGGTGTGTGAGTGAATGAGTGTGAGTGACTGGGTGTGAGTGAATGGTGTGTGAGTGAATGATGTGAGTGACTGGGTGTGAGTGAATGATGTGAGTGACTGGGTGTGAGTGAATGGTGTGTGAGTGACTGGCGTGTGAGTGAATGATGTGAGTGACTGGCGTGTGAGTGACTGGCGTGTGAGTGAATGATGTGAGTGACTGGCGTGTGAGTGACTGGCGTGTGAGTGAATGATGTGAGTGACTGGCGTGTGAGTGACTGGTGTGTGAGTGACTGGCGTGTGAGTGACTGGCGTGTGAGTGACTGGTGTGTGAGTGAATGATGTGAGTGACTGGCGTGTGAGTGACTGGCGTGTGAGTGACTGGTGTGTGAGTGACTGGCGTGTGAATGACTGGTGTGTGAGTGTACCCTGAGATGGGTTGGTGCCCCATCCTGGGCTGTTCCCTGCCTTGTGCCAATAGGCTCTGGACGCCCGTGACCCGGAATAAGACAAGCTGTTTCAGGAAATGGATGGATGGATTTGAAATATATCTGGGGCAGCGGGAAAAGTCTTGCTTACAGATTTGTTGAGCAGGGCATCAAGTCAGTCAGGACGTTGTTCCTCAGGGTGACATCCTTGTGGTAGACATTTTTAAAACCATTGGTCTGACTAGCAGCAGGTTTTTGAAATGCTACCTTCATCCAGAATTCTACTAAAAAAAACTGCATGAAAGGCAGCCGGTTTATTTTTTTCTGTATTGAGCCAAAACTTTTGATTTGTTTTAAAATGAGCACAGTCTTTATTATTGTTTTTATGTTCAATCAGAATATGATTTCAGGTGTCAGACAACTGAATGTGTGCTCAGCAGATTACACAATAAAACCTTTGTAATAAGACTTGATTTGTTTGCCAAAGCTTGAAGAACATTATCCTCACCTGTACAACATTTATTTTCTATTTTAACATTTTTTGCCATGCTGTGTCCTGTACTCTTGGTTTTCGTTTATTTCCCCTCGGTGAAGTGGATTTGATAGCATTACTGCTGTCCCAGCTGTACTGACACTATTCGGAAACTTGTGTTACGCTGTTTCAGTATGATGTTCATGTTTGTTACTCTCATTCTGCATATCTTCAGGTGAACCTTCATGTACCATCAGTGGCATTGATGAAAGTGAGAACCATGATACAGAGGGAGTGCAAAAGTACAGGAAATTGAGAGAAAGGGACTACATGCTGTATTGTCTTGTCACCTTAATGGAAGTTTTTTAGGATATGTGGAGATAAAGAGACAGCCTTTTTGGACATAGAGGTTTATATGATCGCGAGTGACCAAGTTAATTTGCTGGTATTGGGGCATTAACTTGGACTCATGTCAATTCATGCATTTTGTTATTCAGAATAATGTCACATATTAAATACTTTGATGTTCTTCTTGAGATTGATTTTAAATTATTTTTTGTGTGAAAGTTTTAAGCACACCACGTGCTGGTTAGACGGCTTTTGCTGATCTTTTGCTTGTTACTCCTGTGTGACCAAACGAACTCAGTTTTCTAGCTAATGTATCATCAGACATGATCAAATGATATGCTATGGTGGAGAATGAGATACTTGTAAGTCCTTCCTCTCTGACTGCCTCTCTCCCTCGGCATTTGTGCTCCTAATCGCTGTAGATCCTGTGGACTACCTCTAAAACAAGGCACACTACCTCACCTCCTCCCAGAGCTGTTCCATTGCTGACCCAAAATGATCTCCTCCCAACACAGCGCCAACGCAGCCCTACGGCCGCCGCAGAAGTCAGGCCTCCCTACCTTTACCCTGCTCAAATACTCTGTTTCATATCAAATGCTTCCTTAAGCTGCAACATCCATGTGAACCTTTTCTAGGGGAACTAGAAATCACAGCATGATGACAAAAGGACAATGATGTCAAGCATGCATTTCTGGTTAGTGAGGTGCCTCCACATGGGTATTCTATAGACAAAGCTTTACAAGTAAGCAGAGGTGGAAATTTCAGGTCCAGAAAGTACAAATCCAGACCAAGATTTTGTTTCAACCAACCAGTTGAGTACTCTGTGCTGTGACTCTTTATGCTCAACTGGTTGGTTGAAAGTAAATCATGGTCTGGATTTCTACTTTTTGGACCTGAAATTGCCACCTCTGCTAGTAATGCATCTTCACAATCTTTTGACTTCTCCCATCCTTTACCTTGAAATCCCACCCCTCCAAGATTTTTTGAAGAGCAGTTCATCACTCTTGTGATCATACTTTAGACAACCCATCTAGCAGGTGATGGTTTATTCCAAGCTCAGTGAGAAGT